GGGCGGGGCCAGCGGGGCCGTGGGCCCCGGGGCTGGCCAAGGCGGGCCATCGATCCGAGCAGTCGTTCCGCGGCTCTAAATTAACCACGTCCCTCTGTCTTGTCCCCATTAGAGACGGGGTGGTAAGGACGTCATTATCCCCCTCCCCCCAAACCCAACCGCGGCCACTTTTCCCCTGTCTTTGTCGCGAACAAAAGCAAAGAGTGACAGCGAAACCGACACGAGTGGGCGCCCACTTCTATGAAGGCCGAACACTCGCACGGGTCGCTTTATTCAGGGTCACAATAATATGCCTAGTGGCCCCCACGGGAGGAAAATCAGTACACGGTATTTTGCAGGAGAGAGAAAGTCAGACAGAATATAGCTTTATTTTGGTGGGCGCGTTGTTCGTCGCGTGTCTATCGATCAAAACACGTCATGCTGATGTTGGGGAATTAAATATTGAAGGCTACTCCTTGACTGCCGGTCGCACCCGTGGGGAAAAAATGGTTCCGAATCGTCATAAATAGAGGGGGCCAGTTTTGTTTCCCAATGAGCCCTTCCACCATGCCGGTTTCGTGTGGATGCACACATGTGCGAGCACATGCGAGCACATGTGTGTTTAGGGGACAGGTAGAGGGGGAAGGGATGTGACGTATAAGTGGAGGATTTACGTCACGAATCGATGCAACTATCTGTTTTGAACATCAACTTTCCCCACCTGTCCAGGTCCCGATAATTTTGTTGATGCAGCTGCACTCTGCTGGACGTCAAACCAAGAGGGTGGTCTTGCAAAGGTCACAAAAGTGTCCGCCCCGCAAGGATGCCCCGCAACGCTCGGCACGCTATCTCACCTGCGGTATGCAAAACAATGTGAGGAGGGGCTGGGGGTCGAGTAGGGGCGGGGCGGAGGCGATGCTTCAAGGGAATAGTTCAACATGCAAACTGGTCATTTATTTCACAGAAATAGCGGGCAGCAGTATACTGTATATACACAGGTTGGCTCGGCGCCTGTAAACCGAGCGGCCTGCAAAACCTCCTGCAGCAGGCAACAATGTTATCGGCAGATACGAACAAGGCCACTGTTTAATATTTACAGAAAATAGTCATGTTGCACGGGGAACGTTACGTATTCTATTTTATCATTAACTATTTAAAGGAGCAAAAAAATATAAGCAAACGGAATTTGAATATTC